ACACGCACACACGCACACATGCACACATGCACACATGCACACATGCACACATGCAAAATGCACACATGCACACATGCACACACACACACACACACACTCACACAAACACCCGCACACTTCAACTCCCAAGGGAGGGTGCTAATCCTTCGAGTACAACTGATGAGTCTCGAGTACAACTGATGAGTCTCGAGTACAACTGATAAGTCTCGAGTACGATGAGTTTCGGCTCGCAAGACGCTTGGCTTTCCGGTAGAATCGAAAACGCTACAGAAGCAACAAGAAGCACTTACAGCGGCAGAAGAAGAGGGCCAAAAGGACTTTCAGAATCACTCACATGTTGCAGGTACACAAGGCTGATCAGGCCTTGCATCCCCTCCAGTGATGCAGCTTCGTTGGACAAGGTTCATCACTGGAGGCCTTGCCCCCCTGCGGTTGAAATCATAAGCAATTGTGGTGGCAGGGTATTCTGCCACTCCGCACACACACGCCCCTCCACGAGGGGCGTACATTCTCTTTTTTGCTTCCGGAAGATCACGTGCTCAACTCCCTAACGTCTACCAAAATATCCACAGCGGCGGGGAGAACGAGAAATTGCACGCTCTGTACGATGCCGCTCCGAAGACGGGGACGAAGGATCTCCAAGTTGAGTAGGAAGTGTGCCGCCATAGAAGACCGGCGGAAGGTGCAAAGATGACGGATGTGCAACGTCGGACATGGGCGGGGCGTAAGTGAACATTTCCTCGACCTGGATGGAGATGTCCGGATTGTGTAAGCCATCAAGTGGTTGATCCGGAGCATGGTGGGTGGAGAATGACTCATAGCGGGACAACACCCGTTGGTAACCTTGATGCTGCCAATCTCGAATAGTCCATGCTTGGCCTCGTTCATGAGTCTCCTCATCTGGATCGGTCACCCGTTTCCACTCCCGAAAAGTGTTTTCTGGCAGGTCAGGTACCTCATCATCAGGGTGCCATAGCTGAGGTTGTCCAGGAATATAGATCCGCACCCACTCACGTTCCTGCCAGACTGAATACTCCAGCCACGGGTGCTGAATGTCAGTTCGGGCCGACGTCTGAGTTGCATCATCTGTATCCATGTCGAAGTGAAAGATAGGGCGCACCACAGGTTCCATTCCAGCTAGCAAGGAAACAGTCACCATGCACAACCATGCACAACACATGCAAGCAAGAGAACATGAAAGCACCATTTTGTACCACGGTCAAAACTCATCAGTCTACTCAGCAACTAGTTCGAAGATGGGCTTCTCCTTGGTGGCAGAGCTGCTAGGTTGGCTTGCGGGCAGATAGGGATCAGCGACCCCAGACTCAGGCGGATCAGCGCCCCGACAAGTACGCACTGGTTGGTGCGGTTGCGACGCTTGACTCGCACGATCCAACAGCTGCTGACCGATCCCTGCTTGAAGACGAGTGAGATCCTCAGTAGAGAAAGCCGATGCATCCGAAGATCGAAGAATCGCGTCCAACATCTGCGTAGACATGCACAAAGCCGATGATTGCGTGGCCACGTTGTGCTGATCGGGAGAAAACATCGAAGTCAGGCTCAGGAGCTGCGACGCGCCGGTAACCTTCTGTGGTCCAGTCCCGCTTGTACCAAGTACTGCCAGTGGTTGAACACCGTCATGAGCATGATTTGGGGCATAGAACTCCTTCCATTCCCTGTACGTATGACGTGGAGGAGGGTCATCACGTTCGTCTTGTGGTGCCCATGCCCCTGGATGGAAAATCTGAACCCATTGAGCGTCAGGTCGCTGAGGATCGGGGCACCATTCTAGCCACGGCATGATGATCGATCAATGATGCACATGGCTGCAGGAAAGAAACCCATGACGAGACACAGAACAAGTCAATCAAACTCAAGGCCCTAGACCATGCACTCAAGACGCAAGAAGCAACAAGCACAGTGTTTTAAGCAACAGTCTGCCCTGGCATCAATGTCACTCGTCCCAGTCAAAATTAGGATCGTAGCTTGGTGGGGGAGAAGGTTCAAGCCAAGCACCATCCGGAACCGACGATCCAATGCCTGGACGTGGGTCGCCAAGGCGTTGGTATCCGCGCGTGCGCCAATCTCGATATTGCCACGTGTAGAAAGACACGTAGGAGACCGGTAGTGCTTGGCATCCGCAGTGGTGCCTCCTGTGCTGTCACGAGGCCAACACACGTCAAAGTGGTAGACTCTGCGCCATTCACGATATGTGGACGCGTGGTCCGGAGCTGGGCCTAAGGTAGATTCTGCCACAGGCTGCCACATGCCAGGTGTGGAAACACGAATCCATTCCACTCTCGAGTTTCCAGGGCCGCGCACTGTGTCGTACTCAAAGTAGCGCGGGAAGGCCCATCGCTCGTTTCCAAGTGTCGAATTGAGCATGACAACCGAATACGTCTCTGTGAAACAAAGGATCTGCGAAAGAGCAAACATGGAAGAAGCACAACACAAGACAAGACAACCCATGCACAATCAGCAAGCAATGCGGACCATCTTTTCACTCACAAGGCTGCACGGCACCTCTTCACTGTCGTTGATGACGTGCACATCTGCAATGGAAGTGTCCTGGCTGACGTCGCACACAAGGGGAAAGACACTTCCGTCCATGATGTATAAAGGCATGGCAGTAATGCTTGCATCTTGTAGTTCTGGACCGTGTAGCACGAGTAGACCTTTTGGGAGTGAACACGGTGAAAGGTCGTCGAGAATAGTGCTCTGCCGTAGTTGATGCGGCACCCTTCAATGCGCGAGCGCGCTTTGGAGTGCGCGTGAAGATCCGAAGATCATCAGCACTGAGTTGGTCCGCGCTGCGACCTGAACGACATGTGCGTTCAGAGGTCATGGTCGCCGGGCAGGATCGTCCTCGGGGGGATGAAGTGGGTGATGTCCGCAATGAGGGCAAGAACTGTGGGTGAAGGATCTCCGGTGGCGGTGGTGGTATGTGGTGGTATGTGGTGGTGGAGGAGGTAGAACCAATTGTGGTGGTGGTGGCGGTGGTACCGGCACCCGCATTAGCCTTTCCGCCTGAACTCCCGGTGGGTGATCATGAAGCGAGGGTCCGTGATACTGCAACCAGGTCGGCTGCACTCCATGGGTCCAGGTTATGAACGTCTGAACATTTTGTTCCATCATGACTTGAACACTCAAGACAGCAAGACAAGGAAAGCAAGACAACGAGTCCGACACAATACACATCCACGCAGAAATATTTTGACGGCGCCAACGCTGCAAAGGTGTCTAGCTGCGTGCCTCAAGTTGCTGATAAACCTTCCAGGCTTGCTTGACTTCCTCCGCGGACTTTTGGAGGGAGCGGGCAATAGTCTTGTAGGTGGGTCTGGCGTCCTTGTCTTTTTTGCGCCTGACCTTCTCATCCAGCTCACCTTGTGTCCACGCCGTGAATGGTTCATGGTACGCATTGCGGAGGGCAGTCGTGAACTCCTGCAGAAGTTCCCGAGGGCCATGTACCACTGTCGGTGAAGGGCGAAACGATAAGGCACCAGGATGGGGACGGACAGAACGGTCCGAATCCGAATCCGGAGTGGAAGTAGGCGTCGTCACCGGTCCACGATCGGTGTTTGCCGCGATGGGAGCGGGCACTCTGGGTTGGGGAAGCCGGTCAACAAGAGCACCTGGACGAGGATCATGTTCTGTTCCTGAGCCTGGAACTTCACGACGTACATCGAGGGGGCGACAGCTCAGGTATGTACCAGGTCGAGGACGTGTCCAAGGGCCGCATCCTAGTGCGAGGTGGGGCGCGCGACCGGTCTGACGTGATGCGCTCCGTGATGATGCGTGGACGCAGCCCGTGTCTTGAGTTACGTGGTGGCCTGGGGACCATCCAGGGATCGGATTCCGAATTCCGATC